GTATTTGAGAGCTCTTAATATAACCCCTAAAAGATTTTAGGGTTGCTTCTTCATAGGGGGGATGTTAGAGAAGAAAAAAATCCCTATAAAAAAATAAAGAATACATGAGTTGTCAGAAAAAAGTGATCGGGAGATATGGGAGGAGTTGAAGGGGAGGGTGTGGGCATGGATTTGATCAGAACACCTTATAGGCATATATGAAATTCTCAATAAATTTTTTTTTAAGTTTAAAAAAAAAAAGCAAGGCTGGGTGTGGTGGTGCACGCCTTTAATCCCAGCACTTGGGAGGCAGAGGCAATCGGATTGCTGCAAGTTCTAGGCCAGCTTGGTCTCCATAGCAAATCCAGGCCAGCTGGGGCTACAGAGAGAAAAAAGATAACCATCACACCTTGCCTTGCCTTACCCTTTCCATAACCAATGCCAAGGCAGGCATGTAAAGGCAAGATGTTGGGCTGGGAGTGTATTTCAGTGGTAGAGTAGGTGCCTAGCACGTTCGAGGTCCTAGATCTTGAACCCAAGACTAAAACAAAAAAATGGTACTTTAATTACAGTTTGAGGGTGAAACAGGTCTTTTCCTGAGATTCCTTCAGCTTTAACCTTGGACTTTCATTGGCTGTTCCTAAAATGGGAGTTGCTGAGAGCAAGGCAAGAGGAATGGTGCAGGAGAAAGGAAGGTGTGTATTTGGAAGGCAACAGAGTTCACTGGCACAGGACATTCACACTTATGCATACGACCTCCTTTTCCTTGAGTCCACTTAACTCTCAACTTACCTAGACTTCTTTCAATTTCCCTTCCCAGAAGTCTCCTCTTAGTTCTTCCCCTTCAACCTCAAAGAATGCCTCTCTTCTCTCTCTCCCCTCTCCATCAAACACTGCTTTGCTTCAAGCTGCCAATCCTGGGAGGTTTCCCTAAGTAACGTCTAAGGATGATTATAAAGCAGCTGGTGATGTGGGAAGCATGGAGTAGGAGGACACTGCCAAACAAAGAATGGCACTCACAACTGCAGTCCCAGTGGTGAGAAAGAACATACCATAAATAATTCAGTGTGGCTGGAGGCAGAGTGCAAGCTAATGGAGAAGGGGCATAAGATGAAGCCAACTAAGGGAGCAAATCAAAGGCTTTACACACAGGTGAAGGGACAGCACTTCATTCTATTGATGGCAGGAAACAAGAACTCCTCAGATGCAGGCAAGAGGCATGACCAGCTATCAAGTGCAGAATGGATGGGAGAGTGGAGAGGAATGGGGAGGTGCAAGACTGGAGACCAGTGTTTTCGCTTTTTTTTTTTTTTTTTGGTTTTTTTGAGACAGGGTCTCCAAGTAGCCACAGTTGGCCTGGAACTCACTAGTAGATCAGGCTGGCCTTGATCTCACAGAGATCTGCTTGCTCTGCCTCCCAAGTGCTGGGATTAAAGGCATGTGCCACCATGCCTGGCTGGAGACCAGTTAAGAAGACTAAATGAGATAATATATACAAGGTATTTAGCAGATATAAAACATCATATAGTCAGTGAGAATACACATATATGTGTGCAGGTACATGCAAGACAGGGTCTTGCTATGTAGCTCAGACTGGCCTCAAACGAGATCTTACTGCCTGTATCTCCCACGTGCTGGGATAAAAGCATGCACCACTATACCCATGTTCCCACTTTACTCTCCTTCCTTAACTGCCTTCTCCTTGTCATGTTCCTTCACCCTTCCTTTTTCCTAGACCTTTCCCTTGCTCAGTACTTCCTTCATTCCTGTCTCATCCCCAACTTACCTTGCCCTACAGGTCTTTCTTTCCCTCTCAGGGGACAAATGACAATGTCTGGAGAAATTTTTGTTTGGGGGAGGAGGCTGCCACTGGCATCCAGTGCCTGGAAGTTGTTGAATATACAATTTGCAGGACAGCCCTACCACCACACACAAGAATCATCTAGTCCAAAATATCAGTAGCTCTGAGGTTAAGAAACTCTGGAAAGGGGCTGGAGAGATGGCTCAGTGGTTAAGCACACTTGCTGCTCTCAACAGAGGACCTCAGTTTGGTTCCCACACTCACATGGTGGCTCATAATTAACTTATGTAACTCCAGTTCCAAAGGATCTGATGCCTTCTTCTGGCCTCCAAGGATACTAGGCATACATGTGGTGCACTTACACACATGCAGACAAAACACTCATATGGATAAAATAAAAATAACAGCAAAAAAGAAACTCTGGATTAGAGCTTTCTGGTACATAAACACAGCTACCTGAAGAATACACAAAATTAGACCAAACTTGTTAAGAGTCCTGGAACTCAGTCTAATTGAGTATGCGAACTCAGATAGGAATAATGACCAGGTTTGCTGACTTATATACTGAGCCAATTAACTTCACCTTCAAGAGATTAATAGTTTTAGGGCTAGAGAGATGGCTCAGTGGTTAAGAACACTGACTGTTCTTGCAGAAGACCCGGGTTCAAATCCCAGCACCCACACGGCAGCTACTAGCTGTCCATAATTCCAGTTCCAGGCAACAGCCTCTTCTGTCCTTCACCGGCATTGCACAACATGGGTGCACTTGCCTACATGCAGGCAAAATATGCATACACATAAAAATAATAAATTTTTAAAAAAAGAGATTAATAGCTCTAGCTCTTGTGTTTTGTGGGTACCTTTGCCCTACTTGAGAGCAATTGTCACTTAACCTTACAGATATGTTATGAATACACAACAAAGCTGTCTTGTCATTACAGATCAAAACACAGCATTGATACAGGAATGAAAGGTGGACAAGAAGATCCCTTCAGATTTAAAATGGACTCCTCAAAAAGGTACAGCTCAAAAGCGAGGAGGATGGGATTCTCACACTTCGACGGTCGAGGATCCACCTCTGAAGTCCTAGCTAAGAAAGAGAGCTGTGTCCTAAGATAAGACACACAAAATAGAGCCTGTGTACCAAGATCTGCCTCCTTTCCCAGACATAGTTCCACTGTCCCATTCAGACTCTCTAGCCCGGGTCAGCAAGCAGACAGCAGTAGGTAGCATCACCTGCACACCTCGTAACCTCGCACACCTTCCTAAGTCTCAGCCCACTCCTTCCGTAGTCCTAAACCATCCCTTCCCTCTCCACAGTTACCACCCTCTAGTCCTAACGAAAGCAAGGCTTCGTTACCAGGGTGAACCACCACTACCCTAGACTTCCACCCCACCCCTTCCAGTTTCCGTCCCCGGACGCTGGTCGGTCTCGGGCCTCGGTTCTCCCTGCCCAGGCCTCCGGAATTTACCAGGTCTCCGCCTCCCATGACTGTGGTGCCGTTTCCTCAGTCCGCGGATCTGGAAGGCTCAGCCAACAGGCAAGGCAGAAAACAGTTCTGAGACCTCCTCACAGGACCTGATCCCCAAAGCAACCAGCTGCCACTTTCCCCACCCGTTTTAGGCGGCACTTCCGGGAGGGGCGTCATATTACTGCGTCGGCGTCGCAGAGCGATAACGTCCGGTGCTAAACCAACCTCCCTCATCCCCACCCCCAACGCCTTAAGTCTACGTGATGGTGTCGCCTACCGTTTCCTACAGTCGCTCTCACGGCTTTGGTGGTTTCTTGGGGGCTTCTAAGCGCCTTTCTGTTGCCTTGGCAACACATCAGGGCCCGGCTGTGGAAGCGCGATTTCACTTCATGATGGCCGCTTCCTAGGCGCTCATCCCACACCCAGATTTCCAAACCAGCTTCCAAACCTCGACTCATTGCCAACCAACTCTTTCATTCCTGGCATGCTTCATACAGATAAATAGATTACCATCAAATTGCAGAAGTCAGACGTGGTGGAACACACCTATCACTCCAGCATTTGGGAGGTTGAGTCTGGAGGAAGATCAGGGGGTTCGAGACCAGCCTAGTCCAGAAGACCCTGTTTCAAAACAAAAACAAACAAACAAAAAAAACCCTAAAATTACATCCCTGGTCTAACATTTAGAATCTGCCTACTTGCTTGTGTTTGTTTATTATTTTTTTAGCTTTGATCACAATTCTTATTTATTTTTTGAGACAGGGTCTTTCTGTAGCCCCAGCTGGCCTGGAACTCACTATGTAGACCAGGCTGGCCTTGGACTCACAGAGATCCGCCTGCCTCTACCTCCCAAGTGCTGGGATTATTTTTATTTTATGTGTATGAGTGTTTTGCCTCCATGCATGTTAATGAACCAGTGTCATGCAATGCCCACTGAGACCAGAAGAGAGCTCAGATACCCTGAAACTGGAGTTACAGATGGTTGTTACCTACAATGTGGGTCTTGGGAACTGAACCTGAGTCCTCTGGAAGGGCAGTCAGTATTCTTAATTGCTGAGCCAGCTCACCAGCTCTCTCTTAAGTTTTGAGACAGGGCCTCTCACTGAACCTAGTACTCCCAGATTCAACTAGACTGGCTGATTGAGCAAGCCCCAGGAATCTTCCCATCTCCACCTCCCCAATGGTGAAATTATAGGTGCTCACCCCAACACTGAGATTTTACATGAAGTACAGGAGATCAAACTCAGGTCCTTATTCTTTCATACCAAGCACTTTATGGATTGAGCCATCTCCCCAGGGTGTAGTGTGTGTGGGTGCATGTATTTGTTTTACAAATAATTTGCCCAAGGTAGCCTGGAACTTGCAAATCTCAGACTTAGCCTCCTGAATACCTGGTTCCATCAGACCTGGCTGCCTATTGCTTTTCCTATCTCCACTAAGAAGATGCTTTCTAGCCAGAAAAATATTATTTCCCTTAATATGTACATAGTCTATGAACTTTAGCAAATTAATCTTCATGTATGGTGGGAAGCTTATTTTTTCCAATATGTATACCTAATTATTCCAGCATAATTTTTTGCTCCTTTTTAGTGCTAGGGATTGATCTCTCACATATTTTTTTCCTACCACTGAGCCCTAGCACAATTTTAAGAGGGTGTTGGATTTCCTGAAACTAAAGTTGCAAACGGTTGTTAGCCACCATGTGGGTGCTTGGAACTGAAACCAGGTCCTCTGCAAGAACAGCCAGTGCCCTTAACTGGTGAGCCATCACTCCAGCCCCCACCCAGCCCCCACCCAGCACAATTTTTCCCCCACTGACATGTGTTGGGGCCATGCTAAAAATGGCCACAAAAGGGGCTGGAGAGATGGCTCAGTGGTTAAGAACACTCACTGTTCTTGCAGAAGACCTGGGTTTGAATCCCAGCACCCACATGGCGCTAACAACTGTCCGTAACTCCAGTTCCAGGGGATCCAACAGCCTTTTCTGTCCTCAGAGGACACTGCATGATGCGGGTGCACTTACATACATGCAGGCAATACACACATACACATAAAATAAAAATAATAAATAAAATTTTTAAATGGCCACGTAATTGTGAATCTATTTGTAGACTATATTCTCCAAGAATGTAATGTCAATACCTATGTAAGCAGCACTTGATTTGATCAGTGTAGCTTTTTTGTTGTTTTTTTCTAATATTTTACTCATTATTTTTATTTTATGTGTATGAGTGAGTGTATTGCCTGCATATGTGTAAGCGCACCCATGTCTTGCAATACCCATGGAGGACAGAGGAGTTACAGAGGATTGTTAGTCACCATGTGGGTGCTGGGAATTGAATCTGGGTACTCTGTAAGAGCAGTCAGTGCTTTTAACCACTGAGCCATCATCTTTCTAGCCCTCTAGCCCCTTTTTTTTTTTTTTTTTTTTTTTTTGGTCTTTTTGAGTCAGGGTCTCCCTGTAGCCCAGCTGGAACTATGTAGACCAGGTTGGCCTTGAACTCACAGAGATCTACCTGCCTGTGTCTCCCAAGTGGTGGGCTTCAAGGTGTGTGCCACCACGTCTGTCTGATCACTGTAGATTTATGGGAAATATGCAAGACAGGCTGTGGTCCTTCCATTTTCTCCTTTGCTTTTAAAATTAGTTTGGATAGGAGCTGGAGAGATGAATCAACAGTTAAGAGCACTTACTGCTCCTCCAGAGGACTTGGGTTTAGTTCCAGCTCCCACACGGCTGCTAATAACCATCTGTCACAACCATCTGTAACTCCAGTTCCAGAGAATTGGGTTCCCTCTTCTAGCTTCTGTGGGCATTGTATATACATGGTACACTTGCATGCATTCAGGCAAACAACTTATACACATAAAATTAAAACAATTCAAAATATATTTTAGGGCAGGGCATGGTGGTACATGCCTTTAATCCCAGCACTTAGGAGGCAGAGGCAGGCAGACCTTTATGAGATTGAGGTCAACCTTGTCTACATAGAGTTTTCCAGGCCAGCTGGGGCTACGGGGAGACCCTGTCTCAAAAAAGACGCCCCCCCAAAAAAAAGGCCTACAGGAAACCCACTTAAGTCCTGAGCAAGGACCTGAACTGAGATAAAACAGAAAAAAATTTAATTACTTTGGATATTCTGTCTTGTGTTTTCATGTAAAATTTTTAAAATATTTTATTTTGGGACTGGAGAGATGCCTCAGCAGTTAAGAGCACTGACTGTTCTTGCAGAAAACCCACTTGTGAATCCCATCACCCACATGGCAGCTAACAACTGTCTGTAACTCCAGTTCCAGGGGATCCAACACCCTCTTCTGACCTGATTTTTAAACATAAAAATTTTTTTAAGTATTTTATTTATTATTTTTACTTTATGTATATGAGTGTACTGCCTGCATGTTTGGAAATGCACCAGTGTAGTCAGAAGACGGTTTCAGATTCCCCTGGAACTGCAGTTAGGGATGGTTGTTAGCTACCACGTGGGCACTCAGAATCATACCCTGGTTCTCTGCAAGAGCAGCCAGTGTTCTTAACCCCTGAGTCATCTCTCTAGCCACATAAATTTTAAAAATGTGTTAATTATATGAATGTAAGTGTATGTACATAGGGGTATGTGCCCCTGTGTGCTTTTTAATTTATTTTACATGTATGAGTGTTATGCCTGCATGTATGTAAATGCACCTGTGTCGTGCAATGCCAGCAGAGGTCAGAAGAGGGCATGAGAATCCCCTGGAACTGGAGTTCGGGATAGTTGTTAGCCACCATGTGGGTGCTGGGAATCAAACCCAGTCCTCTACAAAAGTAGCCAGTACTCTTAACCCCTGAGCCATCTCTCCAGCCTCCTTTTTTACATTTACTTTTTGTTTTGTGTTTTGTTTGTTTTTGAGACAGGGTCTCCTTGTAGCCCCAGCTGTAGACCAGGCTGGCCTTGAACTCACAGAGATCCGCCTGCCTCTGCCTCCCAAGTGCTGGAATTAAAGGTATGTGCCACCATGCCTGGCTTAATTTACTTATTTTTATTTTCTGTGTTGTGAATGTTGTGCGTACATGTGTGTAAGTGCACGCGTACATGTGTGTAAGTGCACCCGTGTCATGGAGGCCAGAAGAGGACATCAGATCCCTTGAAACTAGAGTTAGGGATGGTTCTTAGCCACCATGTGGGTGCTGGGAACTGATCCCAGGTCCTCTGTAAATATAGTCAGTGCTCTTAACTGCTGAGCTATCTCTCTGGCCTCTTGTATGCTTTTGATGTCATGGGTGCTGGTATCTGAACTCTAGTTTTCATGATTGTGTAACAAGGCAGGTGAATCAAGAGTTTGAAGAGGAGATGTAGCTCAGCAGTGAAGTCCTTGTTTGCATGAACAAAACCCTAGCTTCAATCTCCAGTGCCCCATAAAACTGAGTATGATAGAATATGCCCACAATTCTAGCACTCCAGAGGTAGAGGCAGGAGGATCAGAAATTCAACATAATCCTTTGCTATAAAGGGAGTTTGAGAGCATGGGGAAAAAGTAGATATGTTCATATTTCATCGTATTCATGTACAGAAATTTCAAAAAAAACAATTAAAGCCAGGCGTGGCAACACACCCCTGCAATCCCAGTACTTGAGGGTAGTGTCAAGATTAGGAGTTCAAGGTCATCTTCAGCAGCATAGTGCATTTGAAGCCAACCTGGGCTATATGAAGCCTTGTCTCAAAACAAAAAAAGAGTTCAAGACTTCAAGACTAGCCTCTGCTACATAGCAAGATCGAGGCCAGTTTAGGCTACATGAGATCCTACAATGGACATTGCCTGGGGCAGTACTGGACTTTCCTACTCCTCAGCTCCCATGAGCATCAAACCACATTTAGTTTCCTCCATATACATACCTCCTCCTCCTTCTCCTCTTCCTCCTCCTCCTCTTTCTCTTCCTTTTACACAAATGTATTTTCTGTGTGTGTGTGTGTGTGTGTGTGTGTGTGTGTGTGTGTGTGAATGATGTAATTATGTATATGTTTCAGTGTATTGTGCCACTGTGGCTAAAGAATGACTTCTGGGAGTTGATTCTCTCCTACCGTGTGAGTTCTGGAGATTGAACTCAGGTTATTAGGTGTATTAGTCACTTTTCTGTTGCTGTTATAGAAACACCGACCCAAGCAACTTATAGAAGGAACAGTTTATTTGAGCTTACAGTTCCAGAGGAATTACAGTCCATCGTGGCAGGGAGGCATGGTGGCTGGAGGTGCTGGAGCAGGAGCAGCAGAAGCTAAGCTCTCACATTATCACGTAGGCACAGGAAGCAAGAGAGCAACTGGAGATCTGGCAAGGCTTAAGAACTCTCTAAGCCCACCCCCAGTGATGTGCTTCCTCCAGGATAGCCATACCTCTAAAACCTCCCAAAACAGCGCCATCATCTGGGGACAAAATGTACAAATACTTGGAGCCTATGGGGGACGTTTTCATTCAAACCATCACATTAGGTTTAGCAACAAGTGCTTTTACTCACTGAGCCATCTCACTGCACCCCCATTCTTCTATTATTTTTTTTTTCGGAGCTGAGGACTGAACCCACGGCTTTGCGCTTGCTAGGCAAGTGCTCTACCACTGAGCTAAAAAATCCCCAACCCCTTATTTTTAATTTTAATTTAATTTTTTTTGAGACAAGGTCTCTCTGTAGCCCCAGCTGACCCGGAACTCATTATGTAGACCAGGCTGGCCTCATTCTCACAGAGTTCCACCTGCCTCTGCCTCCCAAGTGCTGGGATTAAAGGCGTGCACCACCACGCCCAGCTTTCTTTGGTCTTTTTCAGACAGGTCTCCCCGTAGCCCCAGCTAGCCTGGAACTTGCTATTCCTTATGTAGACCAGGCTGGCCTCGAACTCACAGACATCTGCCTGCCTCTGCCTCCCAAATGCTGGGACTAAAGGCGTGGGTGACCACACCCAGCTAATCCTAGCACTTGGGAGGCAGAAGCAGGTGAATCTCTGAGTTCGAGGACAGCTGGGGCTACAGGGTCAAAAAGACCAAAAAAAAAAAAAAAAAAAAAAAAAAAAAAATTAGGACCAGGAGTGGTAGCACACTCTTTTAATCCCAGCAGAGGAAGGGATCCTCCGTGAGATCAAGATCCTCCTTTGATTGGGAGGCAGAAACAGGTAAGGCCAGTAGCAATGGCAGTCTAGTTGAGACAAAAAAAGATTAAAAAAAAAAAATTTAGGTCAGATGTGGTGGCACACTCGAGAGGTAGAGGCTGGAGGATCTCCATGAGTTGGAGGTCAGATCTTGGTCTACATAGCAAGATCCAGGGTAGCTGGGGTTACATAGTGAGTACCTGTCTCAAAAAATGAAAAAAACTAAAAAAAAATGTCTACAAGAAGCCAGTCATTTATTTCTTTCAGTGCTTGGCACTGAACCCAGGCCTTCACACATGCTAGGCCGCTGCCTTAGCACTAAGCCACATTCCCCACAGCAGACTTTATGTTAACTGGAAGCCCAGGTGGGAAGTGCTGGTGGTTTTGTCCTAGCTGTCCCATGGAATGTGAGAGGAACAAGTATTTCAGGACAAGAATGACTTGAAAGTTCCTTTTCTGTAGCCAGGACAGGCCAATCCTCATCCCTCAGCCCCAGACCAGGCTGTGACTGCCAGTGTTTACTCTTACTGCCTTTGTGGAAATAAAAGGATAAATAAGGAAGGGGGCACCCGGATTTGAACCGGGGACTTCTTGATCTTCAAATGCTCTACCCCTGAGCTATACCCCCCACATCCTGCTAGAGTCATCTTCCTTCCACTTATGGGGACTCAATTTTAACCAGTCCACCCACACTAGGCTCTGGGGAACTTAGTGCTCTCAAGCCTCACCTTCTTGGTTATCTGCTTTGGCTTTTTTTTTTTTTTTTTTTTTTCCCACCAAGAAACTGTGCGGGAATACAAAAAACTGACAACTGGTTGTAAAGAAGCTGACACCATGAACAGGGAATCCTGTGATTTGGGTTAATAAGCACTTGGTATCATCTTGCTTATCCTTGCCTCCTAATGGATTGTGTATAGAAAGGACATAATGTCAGGTTTGGTGTGTGTAGGGGGTTGTTTTGTTTTTTACTTCAGTACCAAGAATTGAACCTAGAACCTCAAGCACTCTGGGTAAGCACTTTTACCACTTACTGTTAGAACTTTACCACTTAGCTATAACCCTATATCCATAGACCTTTTTTAAGACAAGATCTCCCTATGTCACCCAGTTTGGCCTTGAATCTACTGGTTCCTTCTGCCTCAACCTCCCAGTTAGTTGGGATTATAGACCTGAACCACCAGACCCACCTAAAATGTCAGTTTTTTTAATAGGACAATATATCAGGAAAATCAAATTTACTATTTATTTTTGAGGCTTGAGACAATGTATTTTTTTGTTTTTGTTTTTTTGAGCCTTTAATCCCAGCACTTGGGAAGCAGTGGTAGGTGGATCTCTGTGAGTTTGAGGCTAGCCTAGTCTACATAGGGAGCTCCAGGTCAGCTGGGGCTACAGGGAGACCCTGTCTCAAAGAGACCAAAAAATAAGACATATATATATATATGTATATGTATATGTATTTGTATGTGTAATGTGTGTTTGAATGTAGTAGTTGATTCTCTCCTTTCACCATATGGGTCCTAGGGATCAAATTCAGATTTTTTGGCAAGTGCCTTTACCCACTAAGCCATCTTGCCAGACCCTATTTTGTTTGGTTTTGAGGCAGGTTTTCACTATGTAGCCCAGGCTAACCTCAAACTCCTGATTCGCCTGCCTGAATCTCCCAAGTACTGGGATCACAAATCTGAAGCTCCCATCCCTGTTCTTCATTGAAACAGTAGCCAGCTTTTGCCACAGGAGCCCACTGATACTTAGGGAAGTGCTTTGTGGAGAACTGAAAGTAAGGTACCCAGGGCTAGAAAGGTAGCTCGGTGGCAGAATGCTGGTCTCTCATGCACTAGGCCCTGGGTTCAATACCCTGCAGGGGGGATTGAAAAGTATGGTTCATTCTCAGCACCTTAACCTAGAAGAAAACAGAGGCCTCCTCCTTGGAGAGCAAGGAGATGGGCCAGAGAACACTTTGCTCCTTTCCTCCCTCTTTCAGAGGTGGAAAAGATACGGGAACGGAAACCAGCTTGCCCCTAGCTCCTACCCTAGGAAAACACTTGGAAACAGAAATGCGATTTTTAAAAATATAGCATTGAGAGTTCATCTAAACTTCTTTCTTGGAAATTCAGGTCAAGGCCTGTGAAGCAATATCATCAGAAAAGGGGGAATGGGGTGACTTCTCCAAACACAGACGTGCGCTGGCGGAGGGCTGGGGTGTTCCGGCGGTAGCCGAATCGGCCATTTAACCCAGTAGTCATCAGCTTCAGATTGGTATTGTAGTAGTCATGCCCGGTCACCTGCTGGAGGGAATGCCCTTGAGGGCAAGGAGAGAGGCTAAGCCTTACCTTCCCCACTCAAGTCTAGTGAGTCACTGCATCTCCCATACCCACAGGTGGATAACTCCTCAGAGGCCCCAAGTTCCTTCATAGAAACTAAGGCCAGGAGTGTTCTAGAAATGAAACCCTACCCCAGGTGAAGTTACCAGAGGACTGTGAATTATATGTGCTAAGACAGGAGGGACCTGAGCTTCTGGGTTTGGCTGTATTTGTCTTGCTCCCAGAAGACATGAGGAATTTTTACTCATACCTCTGTCCCATCTGGAGAAAATGGACCACAAGATTACTGTGGGGCCAAAGGGTGGTGAGTTAGATGGGAGCAAAGTTGTTCCTGCCAGAAAAATTTCAATCTTCCTTTTCATACTGTTGCTAAACTGAGCTGGAAGAAACAGTAAGACTCTATCTGCTCAGGGAGCCAGAGGTATGTGTGTTGGGAGTGGGAGCACAGCAGGCTTTAGAGTGGATAGAGAGGAATTGCAACTTCATCTCAGCCCTTCCCAGAAAATCAGTTCAATACAGTGCACAGCTTCTGCAATGTAACATAGGGATGGCATGAGGCTGAGTGGTACCTGATATACAGTAGGTGCTCAATAAGTGAACATTACAAGCACGAAGCCAGGAAGATATGATCCTTGAGCCACTTCTCCCTAACCAGTTTCCCTGCCACCCTGCCACCCTGCCTTTCTATGTTGTGGGATACACACTGTTCTTTCTCTGTGGAAGGATGTGAGGCTGGAGAGTAAGGTGACACTTGCCTGCCCCTGCCCAGTTTCTCCTGTTGAGGTATCTCTGTCCTTGCCCGAAAATGTGGTAATAATCTACTATCCAGCCATCCCTTCCTGTACCACCATGATCCTGAAAATGAGAGAGAAAAGAGAAGACTGTCAGCTGAGGTGCCTCATGGAGCGGGGTGCAAACTGTCTGGCTTTTGGGGAAGAGGTCAGACCAGAAGTAACTGGGGAAGGTCTTAAATACACCAATGAGCTGGACAGGCAGTGTGACTGGCAGGTGGGGGCTCTGTTGCCTGACTGTCTGGATCCTAACTCCATCTCTGCCACTAGCAAGCTGTGTGATCTTGGGCCCTGGATTCTTCTCATTAGGAAAAGGAAGGCTGCCATCAGATTTGAAGACTTAGTTCAGATAAAGGTCCTGGCATAGTAAAGGCTAAATACACATATTTTGTTTTATTATTGTTCATTTTTCTTGAGCAATAACAGGATCTCATATAACCCAGAGGCTGGCCTCAAACTTGGTATGTAGTTGAAGATGACCTTGAACTCCTGATCCTCCTGCCTCCATCAATCCCAAGCACATAAGCCACTTCATCCAGTTCAAAAATCATTTTTCCATATCTTTACTCAAATAAAAATACCTACCACAATTTTTTTGTTGTTTTGTTTACATTTTCTTTTTTTTTTTTTTTTTCGGTCTTTTTGAGACAGGGTCTCCCTGCAGCCCCAGCTGTCCTGGAACTCACTATGTAGACCAGACTGGCCTTGAACTCACAGAGATCCACCTGCCTCTGCCTCCCAAGTGCTGGGATTAAAGGTGTGCGCCACCATGCCCGGCTTACATTTTCATTTTTTAAGACAGGGTTTCCATATAGCACCAGCTGGACTGGAATTCAATTTGTAGATCAGGCTGGCCATGATCTCACAGAGATCCATCTGCCTCTGCTGGGAATAAAGATGTGAGTCACCATGCCCAGCCCACAAATGTTTTTTTTTCCACGAGTGGTTTTAATATTAAAAAAAAAAAAAAGGTCTGGTGTGGTGGTGCATGCCTTTAATCCCAGCACTCAGGAGGCAGAGGCAGGCAGATATATGTGAGTTCAAGGCCAGCCTGGTCTACATATCGAGTTCTAGGTCAGCTGGGGCTACAGGAAGACCCTGTTTCAAAAAGACAAACAACAGCCGGGTGCGATGACGCATGCCTGTAGTCCCAGCACTTGGAAGGCAGAGGCAGGCAGATCACTCTGTGAGTTTGAGGCCAGCCTGGTCTACAGAGGGAGTTCCAGGACAGCTGGAGGTACAGGGAGACCCTGTCTCAAAAAAAAAAAAAAAAAAAAAAAAGACAACAACAAAACCCACTTTAAAGCCCGGGGGTGGTGGTGTGGTATAGGCCTTTAATCCCAGCACTCCGGAGGCAGAGGCAGGCAGATCACTCTGTGAGTTTGAGGCCAGCCTGGTCTACAGAGTGAGTTCCAGGCAGCTGGAGGTACAGGGAGACCCTGTCTCAAAAAAAAAAAAAAAATCCACTTAAAAGCTGGGCGTGGTGTCATGGGGGCTCCAAGTTTGAGTATAGTCTTGACTACACAATGAGGTCCAGGCCAACCTGGCCTACTAAGTATGAGACTGACTGGAGAAACAAAAAAGGGACTACTTTAAAAATTAAACAAAAGGGACTAGAGAGATGGCTCAGGGGTTAAGAGCACTTTCTGTTCTTCCTGAGGAACCTGGATTCAATTTCCAGCATGGACATGGTGGCTCTTTCACTCTCTTCTGGCCTTAAAGGGCACTACACACATACCAATAAATATACTAGCAATCAAAACACTTGTATCAATAAATCACTTTTAAAAAATCAAACAGTGGGTTGGTTAAGAGCACTGGTTATTCTTGCAAAAGACCCAGGTTCAAATCCCAGCACCAACATAACAACTGTCCATAGCTCCAATTTCAAGGGATCCAACACCCTCTTCTGTCCTCTACAGGCACTGCGGGACATGGGTGCACTTACAAACATACAGGCATAATGCTCATATATATAAAATAAAAAATAAATTAAATTAAAAAAAAAAACAAACGGTGGGTATGGTAGTGCATGCTTTTAATCTCCCAAGTGCAACGCTCAGGATGCAGAGGTAGGGGGATCTCTGTAAGTTCAAGGCCAGCCTGGTCTATATTATAGTGAGTTCCAGGTCAGCTAGGGCTACAGGGAGACAGTCTTTTAAAAAAATCAAACAAGGAGCTAGAGAGATGGTTCAGCAGTTAAGAACACTGGTTGTTCTTGCAGAAGACCCAGGTTCAAATCCCAGTACCCACACGGCAGCTAACAATGTCCGTAACTCCAGTTCCAGGGGATCCGACAGCTTCTTCTGTCCTCTGTGGGTACTGCATGACACGGGTGCACTTATCTACATGCAGGCAATGCATGCATACACATAAAATAAAAATAATAAATAAAATATTTTTAAAAAAATCAAACAACTGAATATGTGTATACTTATAGTCCAGGCACTCAGGAGGTAGAGGCAGGAAGATCAGAAGTTTAGGACCAGCCTTAGTGAATTAAAGACTAGTCTGAGCTGTATGAGATCATGTCTCAAAAAAAAAAAAAATGTTTTCAGGCTGTGCATGATACCAAAGGCCTTTAATCCCAGCACTGGCGGGGCAGAGGCAGGTGGCTCTCTATGAGTTAAAGACCAGCCTGCTCTACATAGTGAGCATAGGCCAACCAGGGCTATATAGTGAGTCCCTGTCTCAAACAACAAAAAAATTTTAATACAGAAATGTTTGAAGCTGGGCCTTGAGAGATGGGTTAGTGGTTAAGAGCACTTGCTTTTTCTGGGAACCCCTGCAACTGTGACGCCACAGGACCGGACGTTCCTTGTCCACAGGTCCAGACAACTCCCTTTGTCTTATTTGTAGAGCTCACAGGGAGTTTCCAAGGTTTTAGAGGATTTGCGGTGAGGTCATGCTAAAGCATGCCCTGTGACGTCACAGACAATGAAACCTACTTGTGGAGAGAGGCAAGCTTTGAGCCCAATTCTCCCACTCACTCGCAGGAACATGAAATGAGACTACGATGGGGTTCTGCGTGGAAAGGATCCCGTGGGCTCAGCACTGGTCACCGCCCTCTTCCAGTCTCCCGTTCAACATAGCTTCAGGGTGCTGGCATCAATGATGCTCAATGCCCTGCAGTGGGACTCCCACATTCGGGGAGGCTCGAAACTGGTTAGTCTGGGGCCACTAAGTCTTCGTGGGGTTTTCCAGGATGTTCTATACCTACCTGATCAGTTTTCCGCAAAATGGACGGGACCACATGGCTCCGAAAGTACCGGTGAGTGTGGTAGTCCTGCTGTGCGTTGTAGGGTGGAATTGCTGACCACAACTTGGGCCTGGTGAGGCTGTAGGCGCGGGCCATGGTGCCCACGGCCACCCCATCCAAAACAAAACTTTTCTCCAATCGCAGAGGGCACTCGTGGCAACGCGCCATCCCAAACACCCGCAGGCTTGGAGGCCTTTATGGTGGAGGACTCGCTAGATGGCAGGCCCCACCGCGCATTGTTACGTAGAGGTCAAGATCCTCCCTGAGACGCAAACCCTATTGTTTGTTTCAGAGTTCTGCTGCGGATGGAACCTAGGGCTTCATGCATGTGCATGCTAGGAAAGCATTCTATCAGATTGTACTATGTCCCCAGCCCTCTGTTCCCACCCTTTATTTTTTTGTCTTTTTTGAGACAGGGTCTCCTTGTAGCCCCAGCTGTCCTGGAACTCATTGTGTAGACCAGGCTGGCCTCGAACTCACAAAGATCCACCTGCTTCTGCCTCCCAAGTGCTGGGATTAAAGGCGTTCACCACCACGCAAGGCAATTCCCACACTTTTTTTCACTTCTATTTTTGTGTATGTACACATAAATTACAGGTGCCCCAGGAGACCAGAGAGGGCATTGGATCCCTTAAGCTTGAGTTAAATGTGGTTGAGTAGGCTGAGATGTGGGTGCTGGGAACCAAACTTGGATTTTTTGCAAATAGTACCCACTTTTATCATCCAGCCCTCTAGCCCTTGCTCCCATGGTATTATTACATGCCATTTCTGAGTTCTGTTGAAAGGCCAGAATTCAAAGAGCATCCACTTAGAACCTTCACTTCCAGTTAAACTAGTTGGAGTTTAAAAGGTTCTAGAAAACAGGCGTGGCAATCCCAGCACTTGAGCGGTGGTGGAATGATGAGTTCAAGGAAGGCCTCAGCCACATTGTGAGTTCCAGGCCAGTCTGGGCTACTTTGAGACCACTCCCCACCACAAAATGTGAATTCCCCAAATGAAGTCAGCTCAAAGGGCCAAATACCAGAATTCACATCTCTTAACCTCTGGTCAACCCATGAGAAAGCCCTGGTCTCTCCACACATTTTCTTTTTTAAACAGGGTCTCATGTAGCTCAGGCTAGTCTTAACTTTTCTGATTTTCCTTGCCTTTACCCAAGTGCTGGGATTACCATCATGTATCACCACACCTGACCCCAATTCTTATCCTCTTATTAGAACAGAAACACTAAACACTAGATGGACATTGAATTGTTTGGCACAGGTAATTAGGATACAGCTAACTAAGGTTATATTCTCTGGTTATGACAGGTAACTACTGTCTTTGTATTTTTACCCCTCCTCCCCCATAAACTCTTACAAAAATGCTTTATCAGGGCTCCACCTCATTCATTCTAGCACCCTTGCTCATCATACCAAACTTTGGGTGCCAATTCATTTCACAAGCTAGAGAATTTACTTTTGGGTCATACTGGAAATTAAACCCAAGGTCTCATTTATGCTAGATAAGCACTCTGATGGGACATGTCCAGCCTTTGTACTTTGCTAAATTGCCCAGGATAGCCTCAAACATGAACTACTCCTTCCCCGGAGGCAGATTATACATAATGAAACACAGCAGCTAAGGATTTTGCTATCCACCGTTACACCAAGTGTGTGATCTTTTCACACTAGAAAAAGGTTTTGTGGGGCTGGAGAGATGGCTCAGTCATTAAGAGCACTGACTGCCCTTGCAGAGGACCTGGGTTCAACTCCCAGTACCTACATGGTGGCTAACAACCATCCACAACCCGTTTCATGGAATCCAATGCCCTCTTCTGACCTCTGAGGTCATGTGCATCACATACAGCTGGTTCCTATTCACAGCATCCTTCTAAATCCAAGAGACTGTGACAGCTCTAACCATGACCACGGCCTTACTTCAAAGGCTGTTCTCATGGTGGTTTACTTACTTATACAGGGTAATTTGCCAATGGGTAGAATGCGTTGTTTGGAACTTGTTTCAAGGATTCAAAACCAAAAGATTTTTACCGCACAATGGAAAAAACTAGTATTGGTCAAGACACATCAAGTAGGGTAGGGCTGAGCCCTCAGCCAACTGCCTGCATGCCTGGTTCTGGCCTCCCCATGGTGACAAAGCTACTGCTGGTCTCAAGAAGATTGGTGGAAGGCTCTGCCCTCAAAAGGACATTTTTTTGGTCTTTTTGAAACAGGGTTTCCCTGTAGTTGGCCTTTAACTCAAGAGATCCAACTGCCTCTATCTCCCAAGAGTTAGGACTACAGGCAAGTACCACACCTGGCTTTGAACTGGACATTTAGATCACCCCCTTAAAGTTCAGGGAATATTGTTGAAAAGGAGGCAGAAAGAATGTGCCAAAAGAGTAGGGCTGCAAAATATCACCTTCTAAGCACAACATAAGCAATGGCAATCATGAATGCATAGCAGCTGAACTTACTGGGCCTAAACAGCTATGGATGGGGGAGGCTCATGGGGCCCTACTGCTTGCTGCTCAACTGTTGGCAGCTAATCTATTCTGGGAGAGGAGGCGGTATACTAATCAGTTACGTAGCCACTGATGAGCCCACCAGTTTCAAACAGCTAGCTCCAAACCCTTGGACATACAGATGGCCATAGTTAAACTCTGTAGGACAAAACAGAAAGCCATGTATATGGGAAAGAGATTTATAGGAAAAGAAGGAACTAAGGGGGGAGATGTAACCAGAATATATGAAATGGTCAAAAAATAAATGTATCAAAGAAGAGGTATCAAGAAAGCATGGATGGGGTGCGGTGGCACAGGCTTTTAATCCCAGCACCTAGGAGGCAGAGGCAGGCAGACATAGTGAGTTCCAGGCCAGCTAGTGCTCCAGGGGAGACCAGGTATCAAAAAAGTTTAAAAAAAAAAAAAAAAAAAGCGCATGGCAATGGGGCTTGGGAGATGGGCTCAGCTCACTACTACTCTTGCTGAAGACCTGGGTTCAATCCCCAGCACCCTATTCTGACCTCCTCCCTGCACTGCATGACACAGCACATTCACACACAGGAAGGCAATACACATCAAAGACAATACTTGGAGCAAAGACTTTAATGGGCATCATAGTTTACAAATACACCAGAGAATCATGCAATGCTGCCTGCATTGGATGCAATTCTGGGCCACAAGTCTGCACACTCCTTTGCAACTGGACCTGTGATGGCGGAACCTGCATAAAGAAGACAGGTGAGACAGGATTCTTCGCCTGTACGGAGGTTAGCCACCCCACCTGAAACACAGCAGTGATCTGAACTGTTACCTTTCATCTCGCCTTTGTTGTTTACTATGACCCCCGCATTATCTTCAAAATAAAGAAACACCCCATCTTTTCTTCGGTATGACTTTCGTTGTCGAATTACCACTGCTGGATGGACTAAGGGGGGAAAAAGGACAGCAATCATTAACTGGCCATCATTAAAGCAGTTTATTCCTCAACAAAATGCATGTTCACCATTAGCTTTTCATTGCCTAACAAACAGCAAAGGACAGTGAAAACATCAATTGCCCCTTAAACCAGCACCACTTTCTTGTAATAGGTGTGCACTCTTCCAACAAACTTGTTAAGCACTAGCTACTGTCCTTTCCTCATTTCATCTAATAAGTTACTACCATTAATGTGTCACGATCAGCTAGGCATGGTGGTTCACACCTTTAGTCCCAAAACTCTGGAAGCAGAGTATATAAAAGTCCACATACTACACTTTTCCTTAAAGAAAATTCTTGGGCTGCTCTTCCCAAGAATCTGGCCTTTACAATGACAGGTTGCTTAGGAGCTTTCCTACAAAGTATTATAGACTGCTTTCTAGAAAAATCAACTGCATATATGCCGGGCTTGGTGGTACACGCCCTTAATCCCAGCAGTTGGGAGGTAGAGGCAGGTGGATCTCTGTGAGTTCAAGGCCAGTCTAGTCTACAGTGCCAGTTCCAGGACAGCTGGGGCTACAGAGAGCCCCCATCCAAGAAAACCTGCATATAAGAGTTTATTTGGATTAAAGATGTATTATTTTTCAAGAGTCAGATTTCACATATATTAACTTGTTTACCAGTGGAGAGACCCAAGACAGTCCAGTGTAGTACTCACCTGCATGAGTATCAACCTTGAACTTCCCCAGTTATGCCCAGGAACTACTAATTGTGGAGTACCTATGCCTTTTTTTTTTTTTTTTTTTTAATCTTTTTGTTCCTTTATTGGAGCAAGATTCCTAACCAGCATATAGCAATAATCACATATTATTCATCAAGACAGATTTTGGTTACACTTTGCCTATTGATGAAATCATTCCACTTACAAAATTTTATACACCAAAAAGCTTTTGCTTTGACCAGGCTATCTACTGATCACCTCTGCAGAAGCAACACTTGCTCTACTGTACAGCATTAAAAAGGTTATGCATTAAGGAGCTTCCCATCTATGTTGTTTTAATGGAGCAAATCTTAGAATTAAATAGTCCATTAGTCCATTTAGTGTAGGCACAAAAATTGTTGCAACTAAAGACGGTTTGAGTAGCTGTCAATTGCTTATACAGAGAACAGTTACTGGCCAATCAAGTTATGATAGTAATGGACCAGCAGGGAAAACAGACAAGCTCATTTGGGGGGTAGGGGGCATTAAAGCCACCCCAACATTAACAATGACCATCTTTTGGTCTAAAAGTTAGATAACTGGAATCCCACACCCTTCTGCATTAGGGATTGGACCCAGAGCTTCATGCATACCAGGCCAAGTGCCTGGTTTACCCCATCCTCTTTAAGAGACCTTGAACTTAAAATCCTTTTGTCTCAGTCTACAGAACAGCTGAGATTACAGGCCTGTACTACCTGGCCTAGCTTCCACATCTATTGTGTAATTAATAAGGGCCCCCTGTGTATTAAGCAAACAGTTTCAAATTCTTAAGCAAGCTCAGAAACCTTCAGCAAGTTACTTTATCCTTTGAAGCTCAAATCATGACTATTTGAGGCCAAATACCAAAGTAGCAAATACAGAAGAACCTCTTTCCTGCTGGACACTGGCTTAGAGACAAAGAATTAGAAAAATGACAAAATTATCAAGGATTCACTCATCTGTCCAACCGCTGATGGAGATAATAGTACATCCAGCTGCCATCTACACACAAAGGAAGCAGCACATGCTCTACTCCTTTCTGACAGCTCCCTGAGCCACCAGCCAGACCCAGAAGTGTTCTGAGAAAGCCCTGGCAGATGCATCCCTGTTTCAATACAGTAATCAAAGCTCAGTCATAGCACTACCATTAAGGGACCCAAGAAAAATCTCTAACAAAAACTAAAAAAAAGTGTAACTAGGAGCTGTAGAGATGGCTCAACAAGTTAACAGCACTTGCTGCTTTTGCAGAGGACCCTGGTCAGCATCCAGGTCAGCTAACTGTAACTCCTGTTCCCAGATACCCTCATCTGGCCTCCACAGGTACTGCAAGAGAGAAGTGCACTGACATCCATGCAGGCTCAAAACCCTTTATTGCTTTAAAATATTTTTATTTTATGTGTGTGTATTGCCTGCATGTGTGTAAGTGCACCCGTGTCGTGCAATGCCCTTGGAGTTCAGAAGAGGGTGTCAGATCCCCTGGAATTGGAGTTAGGGACAGCTGTTAGTTGCCATGTGGGTGCTGGGATTTGAACCTGGGTCTTCTGCAAGAACTGTTGTTCTTAACCACTGAGCCACCTCTCCAGCCCCAACACCCTTTATTTTTAAATAAAAATGTAAAACTGTATTGGGGTTGTGGAAGGAGGCACCAAAGTACACCTATAATGCAACACCAGGATTCATCACATCTGTACCATAATACCAATATGTACTATACACATCTGTAGGTCTAAGTGACAAACAGCTTCATTTTAGTGTCTATCACCCACAAATGAAATGTGCCTGATGTAACAGAAGCCTTGAAGCTGTGCATTCAGCTGTTCTATTGATAAGTCACCTACCTAAAAACTCGTTCAGTACTAACATACATTTATAGCTAGGGAAGCAATAAACTAGAGATCTTTTCTCACTAGAGAACTTTAGGTGGTCTGCCAGCATCTGGTAAACTTTGCCGGGGAAATGGCAGTTTAAATGGCAATCTCAGCTGGGTATGCTGGAGTATGTCTTTAATCACAGCACTTGAGAGGCAGAGGTAGGCAGATTTCTTGAGTTCCAGGCCAGCCAGAGCTACACAGGAACACCCTGCCTTAAAAAAATAAAGACCCGCCAGGCATGGTGGGGCACACCTTTAATCCAAGCACTTGGGAGGCAGAGGCAAGTGGATCTTTTTGAGTTTGAGGCCAGCCTGGTCTACATAGTAAGTTCTAGGACAGCTGGGGCTACAAGGAGACCCTGTCTCAAAAAAGACACCCCCCCAAAAAAAGACCCAAGCTTACACTAGAAGAACTTAAGGAACAGCCAGGCATGAGACATTTGCCTGTAATCCCACTGAGGATTACTACCAATTTTAAGTCAGCCTGCCCTATAAAGTCAAACCGTGTCTTAAAAGCTCAGGAGAGGCAGAACTGGGAGTGTCTGTTCTACAGTTTGTAAATCCAAGCAATTATCTAGAAGTCCTGACAACCACAAAATTAACACCCCATTTTCCAGTAAGTGGAGAACCTCAATTGTCCACCAGGGTGTAAGGGCTTCCCCCATGACCACTCACCCTTCTTTCTTAGCTCTGGTTTGCCCTTCTTCACTGTGGCCATCACCATGTCACCCACACCAGCAGCAGGAAGTCTGTTCAGCCGTCCCTTGATTCCCTTCACAGAGATGATATACAAATTTTTGGCTCCTGTAAAGGATGTAAACAAGAAACAAATTTTGGCAAGTTTGGAGTCAGCCTGGGTTATACCACAAATGAGCCAGTTTCATAAAAGCCAAAGAACATAAAAAGAGATGAATTGTTTGAGGACCCATTGGGCTCTTTCACCAGTGATCATTTCCCAAAGCTTCCCAGGCCTACATCCACTCACTGCCCACACATGCCATCCTTCGGGATTTCTTGTCACAACACCGATTGAAGTAAAACAACACAAGTTGCTACTTCACCCAAAAGCGGAGTTTTTACTCTGCCCCTTCTTGACGGCTCAATGGGTCACTAGCAAAAGGCCCATTGAGTGCTTTTAAAAGGGGGAGTGTGCCAAAGCACAGCCAAAGACCTCACCTGTGTTGTCAGCGCAGTTGATCACTGCTCCTACAGGAAGACCCAGGGAAATCCGGAATTTCGCACCGGAGGACCCACCACGTCCTAGGGTAGGGAAAGAAGCAGGATAAAGTGGTCGTCGTTCACACGATTCCGAGTTCGACTCACATTCCCAAGCTACAATCAATCGCACCAGCTTTGGAAGACTACAGGGCATATTACCGATTCCACTTACGGTCGCCACTGTGCAATCTACTTTTCACAGAGCCTAGCTGGTCTCTCACTATACCATCTTCCTGTCGGGATGAAGGGGCCTGGACGACTCCATCCACGTCTCAACTTCTGTACGACTACCTGCGCCAGCAAGGCGGGGACCGCACAGGTCGCCCCCTCAGGCCCATGCCTGGCCAGCTGCTGCCCCGCTGTGTAGCCCCGTGCGGGGCGAGCGCACCAAGTCCGCCTGGTACCAGGTCCCGCTCCCGCCCGCGCAGCGCCCCGGCCCCGCCGCCATCCCTTTTCGGGGTTCTACCACGGCCTCTGCGGCGCCTATCCCCTCCCTCTCCAGCCCGAGGGCAGCTCAGCGCTGCCGCCGCCCCGGACCTCCGCCGCAGGACAGACCGCCCGCCGTGCATGGCGGATGACGGCGGATCCCCAAACCCAAAACCTCACCTCGCTTCGACATCTTGAACGCCTAGAGAAACGTAAAAAGGAAGCAGATGCAAAGGACACTGGGATATGAACCGGAGGTCCCGCCCACACCACCATGTGACCGGGCAAGGGGGTCTTTCTATAGGGCGCAGCTATATGACGTATAATCCTGGTACCCGGCAAACTATGTGTCATTGAGTCCTGGTGGTTTGTTTAAACTGTCGGGTGAAGCGGACGTAATGATTAGGCTTTGTAGACTCGAATGAGTCCGGGACTCCTCTGCGGCCTTAAAAGTGACTGGGCACTTAGGCACATTAATTTTTTTTTTTTTTGGTCTTTTTGAGACAGGGTCTCCCTGTAGCCCCAGCTGTCCTGGAACTCGCTGTGTAGACCAGGCTGGCCTTGAACTCACAGAGATCCGCCTGCCTCTGCCTCCCGAGTGCTGGGATTAAAGGCCTGCGCCACCACACCCAGTCCCAGCAGCCTTTTTTGGAGTATCAATGCCAAGCACGTCTCTGGACTACAAAGAATTTGAAAATAATTCATGCTTCCAGCGTGGAAGTGCACGCTTGTAATCCCAGCATTCGGGAAGCTGAGGCAGGAGGATTGCGGTGATTTCGGGACAAGCCTGAGTTACGTAATGAGACCCTGTCTAAAAAGAAAAGAAACTTTGAAAAATTAAAAATCGTGTTTTGGGGCTGGGGAGATGGTTCAGTGGTTAAGAGCAATAGATGTTCTTGCAGAGGCCCTGGGTTCAATTCCAAGCACCCACATGGTAACTAACAACCGCTGTAACTCCAGTTACAGGACATCCGAAATCACTTTTGTCCACCGGGGGCATTGCACGACTCGGGTGCACTTACATATTTGCGGGCGAAACACTAATATACATAAAATAATAAATAACATTAAAGTCATGTCTTGTAAGGGTCTCCGAAGAACAGAGACAGTGAGATGGGGAAGAAGGCGCTCTAAATGGCTTCGTTGGGCTGGGAGCAATGAAGTGATGCTATAATAGTACGACCCACTCCGTTTGATTCCATATTCCTAGTGTTGCTTTATTTATTAATTGCTCCCCTTTCATTGCCCCAACGTCTTCCCATTTTCCTGACTTTGTTCATTCTATTGGTACATTCATTTAAGTATTTATGCTTACTTTATGCCAGGCCCTGTTCGGGTCATAAGATTACATCAGGCAACAAAATAGATCAATAGGTCAATGTTCTTCCCTTTTTGCCTTCTGCCAGGATGGAGGTGGGGTAAAATATTAGAGATGATTTTAAAAGTTGCCCTAGCCGCCGGGCCTGGTGGCGCGCCTTTAATCCCAGCACTCAGGAGGCAGAGGCAGGCAGATCTCTTGTGAGTTCAAGGCCAGTCTGATCTACATAGTGAGTCCCAGGCCAGCTGGGGCTACAGGGAGACCCTGTCTCAAAAAGACAAAAAAAAAAAAAAAAAAAAAAAAAAAAAAAAAAAGTTGCCGTAGCTAGTATATTAAATGGGGCTAAGTTTTACGAAAAAAGAACAGTAAGGGATCAAGGGGCGAGGGATGCAGGTCACAAAGAAAAACTTAATGTCTGGTGATGGAGGCCTGTAATCCCAGCAACTCAGAAGCCCAATGCAGGAGGATCACAAGTTTAAGGCCACTCTATGCAATTTAGAAAGAAATCCGGTCTCAAAATATAAAGTGGATGTATGTGTGTATCTGTATCTCTTTTGGGGAATCCTAATAATATTAAGTAGCTTATTTCATCAATTAGTGTGCTGAATGGGAGAGAATTTTATCAGTCAATTATGTACATATAGGTAAATACTGTTAGGCAAAGGGAACTTTTTTATGTAGCTGTAAAATTTCATTATATTCCTTTGCCAAAGAAACATTAAGAATGTTGTACAGCTGTATAAAAAGCAAGTAAATTTAGCCAGGCATGGTGGTGCATGCCTTTAGTCTCAGCACTTGAGAGGCAGGCGGATCACTGTGAGTTCTAGGGCAGCCTGATCTACATAGCAAGTTCCAGGCCAGCTGGGGCTACAGGGAGACCTTGTCTCAAAAAACAGAACAAAAGAATACCCTTTCTTTCTTTCTTTCTTTCTTTCTTTCTTTCTTTCTTTCTTTCTCATTCATTCATTCATTCATTCATTCATTCATTGGTCTTTCTGAGACAGGTTCTCTGTAGCCCCAGCTGGCCTGGAACTCACTATGTAGACCAGGCTGGCCTTGAACTCACAATGCTGGGTCTAAAAGCATGTGTTGCCATGCCATGTAAGTGACATTTTAAAATCAGCAAAACACACTCACACATAGTAGAAAGAGGGCTGGGCATGTAGCTCTAGTACTGAAAAAGAAAAAAGGAGGGAAATTTCTTTCTTTTTTTTTTTTTTTTTGAGATAGTCTCAGTATGTTCCCTGACTGATGGAACTCACTAGGTAGATCAGGCTAGTCTCAAACTCACAGAGATCCTCCTGATTCCATTTCCATGGTACTGGTATTAAAGGGGTAAGCCACAACATCTGACTCTCTTCTATCTGATTTGTGTGTGTGTGTGTGTGTGTGTGTGTATAAAATGTATACAAAATCAGAGCCAAACACCAAAGTTGGTGATGCACACCTTTGATCTCAGCACAGAGAAGGCAGAGGCAGGTGGATCTCTCTGACATTGAGGCCAACCTGGACTACATAGCAAGTTCCAGATCAGCTGGAGCTATAAGGAGACCCTGTCTCAAAAATAAATAGATAGGGGCTGGAGAGATGGCTCAGCAGTTAAGAACACTGGTTCTTCTTGGAGAAGACCTGGGTTCAAATCCCAGCACCCATATGGTAGCTAACAACTGTCCATAACTCCAGTTTCAGGGGATCCGACAGCCTCTTCCGACCTCCTCAGGCATTGCACAACACAGGTGCACTTACCTACAAGCAGGCAATCCATGCATACACATAAAAATAATAAAAAGCATTTAAATGCCGGGAGTGGTGGCGCATGCCTTTGATCCCAGCACTCGGGAGGCAGAGGCAGGAAACACCACCCAACAACCCACACAAAAAAAAAAAAAAAAAAAAGAAAAAAAAAAAAAGGGCCCTTTTTTCAAAAAAAAAAAAAAAAAAAAAAAAAAAAAATCAGAGACCAGGTGTGGTGGCACACACCTTTAGTCCCATCACTTAGAAGGCAGAGGCAAGCAAGCGAATCTCTGTTATTTTGAGGCCAGCCTTATCTACATAGCAAGTTCCAGGCCACCCAGGGCTACATAGTGAGACTCTGTCTCAAAACAACAATAACGACAAAAAAAATCAACCAATCATAGGTCAATTATAGCCAGTAGTTCACAAAGACCTGCCTGCCTCTGCCTCCTGAGTGCTGGGATTAAAGGCATGCAACACCATTCCTGTCCACACTCTGTGGGTATTGTACACATGTAGTACACTTACATATGTGCAGGCAAAATATTCATACACATAAATTAAAAAATTTTTTTAATTTTTTTATTTTACGTCTATGTATGTATTGCCTGCATATAGGTAAGTCCACCCGTGTCGTGCAATGCCCGAGGAAGACAGAAGAGGCTGTTGGATCCCCTGGAACTGGCATTACCGACAGTTGTTAGCTGCCATCTGGGTCCTGGGATTCGAACCCAGGACTTCTGCAAGAACAACCAGTGTTCTTAACCACTGAGCCATCTCTCCAGCCCCCCAAAATAAAATATTTAAAAAAGAAAAGGGGGGTGGAGAGATGGCTCAGCAGTTAAGAGCACTGATTGCTCCTGCACAGGACCTGGGTTCGATTCCCAGCACCCACATGGCAGTTACGAACCACCCTTAACTCCAGTTCCAGAGGAATCTGAAGCCCTCTTCTGACCTCGAGGTATTGCAGGACACGGGTGCACTCACATACATGCAGACAATACACTCATACACATAAAATAAAAATAATAAATAAAATATAAAAAAAGAATTAGTTTGCTTTATAAACATATTTAAAATTCTTATTTTTGATACAGGGTCTCATGTTACCTGGACTAGTCTCCAATTTACTATGAACTCCCAATCCTCCTATCTCTACCTACCAAGTGTTGGGATTGCAGATGTGTACCTGCCCAGTTTATACAGTGCTGGGGGTCAAAACCAAGGCTTCATGAATGCTGGACAAGCACTGCGCTAACTGAGCTACAGCCCGAGCCCCTGCTTTACACTGTGTTTGAGACTCTCTTTAACATCTTAAGGAAAAACAGCTGGTTTTTCACATTTCTCCAACTAGTCCGTTTTGATATCACATATCTTGTAACTATCAGGAAGCACCTCTGCATATTTATGAAACAGTAAGAGTGACAACCTGGTCAACATAGTGAGTTCCATAGTGAGTTTTGGTCTTTCTCAAAAAGCCAATGATTAGGAGTGAGACAACAGGCTTTGCTTGTAGCTCAGTGGCAAGCACTTGCCTACCATGTGTGAGGCCCTGGGCCCAGCCCCCAGCACTAGGGGTGGGGTTGTGGGTGTGAAACAGACAAGTGATATCTTACTGCTATTGTGAGAATATTTTCTTCTGCACTGAGGGTTTTCCCAGACATTTGAAGACGTTGCTCCTTTGCTCCCAGTGCTGCAATTGTCCCATTACATATTGATTTCCTGAGTAGCCCATTGACTTATCTACTCAACAGCAATTCCCTGGAAACACAGGAAATACAAGTGGTTAGTTACTTTCTGTAGTCCCAGTACATACACGGGATGTACAGACAGGTATGTACGTGCTCAGGCAACTTTTTTTGTTGTCTCTCATTTTAAAAAACAAAAGTATTAGGGGGCACCTGGATTTGAACCAGGGACCTCTTGATCTGCAGTCAAATGCTCTACCCCTGAGCTATACCCCCTCTGCTGATAGAGTGGAGATTACAACATAAATGTAGTGTTTGGTTGGCTATAGTTTGGTATCTGTGACAAACTGTAACATTGTTTAAGGGTGATACTGAAGATTCAAGGGATGGCTGCAGAGGCTATCTTGATCCAAGGGGCAGTGCAGGGAAATTCCTGATAACCCACCCTTGAAAGTCCTTGAGAGTAGGTGTGCATCACTAGCACAGCCTTGACAACCTTTAGTGTGTCTGAGAATTCTTTTTCTCCTCTTTCTCTTTTTTTTTAATTTTAAAAAATATT